CTTCTGCTGGTGTTGTCCTCTGCCACTCCTTTGCTTTCTCTAACTGGAGGCAGACTTCTCAATAGGCAAGGCGTCTTAGGCATCGTTACCCTTAGTCGAGAGCAGGTAGAAAGACATGGCCTCTCGCTAGTTACTCATGGCAACTCTGACTCTATTAGGAGTCAGGAACTTCATCATCTAGTGATAAGTTGAAGGAACAACCTGCAGAAGACGAAGGGCGGTTTGGACTAATATGACATTATGGGCTGACTTGAGATTCATCACCAGGAGCTAGACTTGGACAGTGGTTTGCATAGGGTACTCTATAATGGTTAGGGAGAGAGTAATCATCCCTTCTGGCAAAAGAGAGTGATTGGTGAATCCACTTAGGGGGCCTCTACAGGGGAGCAAGCAAGATTTGTTGATGCCCTTCTGGTTGAAGGCATCGACATACAAGATGTCCACTGGGCTCCTTGTGTCGACCATGATTTGCTTCACCTGGTGGCCATCAATCTATGCTGTGATGACAATAGGGTCTTTATGAGGCATCTTAATGCCTTGCAGGTCAACATCCCCAAAAGATATGGGCTCCTCCACTTTCGTCCTATTGTCGCCTTGGTCGACTCGTAATTCCCTCTTAGCATATCTCTTTAGGGCGTTGTTGGATGACCCTCTAATAGTAGGATCGCCACTGATCATGTTGATGACCATCTTATGACTGTGTTCCAGGAGTCGGCTATCTTGGTGTGATCTAGGACGAGGCGATCGCGAACGGGATCTCCTATTCTCCTTGGCTAGGGCAGCTTCCCTGCGGCCTCTCTGAGAGATGAGATTCTTCAAGTACCCTCTCTTGATCAAATCTTCAATGTCCCTCTTTAGGATACGATGGTTATTGGTGAGGTGGCTGTGATACTTGTTATAGTGGCAAAATTGCCTGGGGTCCCGATTCCTTGGATTTGACCTCATCAGTGGAGTAAGCTCCTTGAGGTGTCCCTCCTTTTGAACCATGGTGAGAGCATTGGTGAGGGAGGTGTTGAAGATTGTAAGAGTGGGCTTTGGTGCCGATCCCTCTGTCGGTCCCACCTATTGGACTGATTGGGACGAGAGTCGACTCTCGGAGGGTCTGCTAGTGTCAGCGCCATTGCTGGTGCTGCTACTGTAGTTGACAGGGCGAGTGGCGCTACCAGTGCTGATAAATTAATGGTTGTGGAAGTCTCTGTAGCCCTGGCTGACACATTATAAGCTTGGGCATCCTCTATACCCATATACCGTGAGCCTTGGCCATCAGTTGCTCATAATTGGTAACAGACTTCTTGGCAAGTGAGTCGGCCAACTCGTTGTTCTACAAGCGGGCCACAAGTGCGGATATAGAAACTACACTCCCTAGGTTGTTGACCTCTAGCCTCTTCACCTGGGACCTTTTGAAGTAGGTTTGAAGGCTCTCACCGGTCCCATGCCTCATCTGAATCAACACATGTGGGGGCAGCTTCTGCTTGGTGTCAGCCAGGAAGTGATGGATGAACTTCCTACTGAGTTGTTGGAAGCTGTTAATGGACTTATTCTCAAGAGTGTTCTGCCAGTGCTTAGCACTCCCTGAAAGAGTGATGAGGAAGCATTAATAATTGACTGCTTTTGATGCTTAGAGAATGCTCATTACATTATAGTAGTTCTGAACATGCTCGGAGGGGTCTCCTTCGCCTTTATACTTCTCCACGTGAGGCATCTTGAACGTCTCAAATACGGCATTCATGAGGTCATCTAAAAGAGGGGTGTCCCCCCCCCACGATGGCTTCTGTGACCAATTTGTACACCTGATCATAGCTAGAGGCCCCTATGGTAGTAGAGGGGGCTGGAGAGACATGGTGATGGAAGAGAGTCTTAGAGACCACTCTTGCCGGTGATTTCCTAATGAGAGAGAAGATGTTGGCAAGGCTCTCCAGGGCGAGTCGACCGACAAGGTGGTGGGATCGCATGCTCAAGGCTCTCCAGGGCGAGTCGACCGACAAGGTGGTGGGATCGCATGCTCAACATAACCCCCCAACTGCTTGGTAGCAACATGAGTAGTATAAGGTGGGGCTACTTGTTGTGCTCCGAAAGGAGGGTGAGTCTCCGACCGCAGGTCTCTTGAAGGTAGGAGCATAGCCGAGGTAGCTTGTTGCGACTGTGGAAGCCGGTTGAGAAGTTCGCTAGTGAAGGTAGCAAATTTCTCTTGGAGAGATTGAGAAATATTCTGAGCTGTTTCTTTAAGCTGGGCTCGAGTAACATAGCTTTGACGTGGTTCTATAGGGTGGAAGTGCTCAAACCCATGCTCAGAACCTGACATGCTTTTTCGAAAAAAAGTAGCCCCACGATGAGTGTCAAACTGTTTATGTTAAGTGATCACACAATCAATTGATGATGGGCACTTCCTTCCCCGAATATCTAATTCGGAGTTGAGTGGCTAAAAAGTCTACACATATAGAAACTTATGAGAGGACAGAGGCTGGTTCCCTCGTGGTTCCTCTAACGATCAAGTCAGTTGGTTAACTTGAGTGGGGAAAGTGAAGAATAGTGAGAGTTCTTGTGTGTACAGTATAATTTACAGAAGACACTGATTTTGCAAAAAACCGGAAGACCAGAAGAAAAAAGGTCCAAGGTCCCTTTTTGTTAGAATAGTACCTTGTATTTATAGTGGTGCCGAAAAAAAGGGTAGAACCATCATTATGATCAAGCACAGGATGGCGGTGAAGAAGCATGGGCTGGTGGCTGAGTCAGCTCCTGCTTTACAGGTGTCACCTGGTGACTAGTAGAGAGATCACCTTAGCATTGAATATGAAGCGATCTGAGGTATGGCAGTGCCGACGTGGTCCGATGAGTCATGAAGGCTATCGGGGCTAGAGCTATGATGGCGCATGCTAAGCATTAAAGCGACGTCGACATTGTGTCAGCGGGAGAGGCTTGAGGCTTAATTTATACTCTAGCTTCGAGGAGAAGTAACGCATTTTGAGTTGTCATTGTGAGGTGTTAAATAACAGGTCGAGTGGGCTCGTTGCAAGTTGTCTTCAACAAGAGGGTCAACTAGTACCACTTTTCGAGTCGACACGAAGAAACATCAACTCGATGAGTCGGCTAAGTTGAAACCCTTGTTGGTCTCTGTTTGCGTCAAAAGTTGGTTTTGTCATGGAATTCATTATATCTTCGGTCGATTACAACAAATTCAAAGAAATAGTCTTTTTATAAGACTTCTTTTACACAACAAAAGGAAAATTACAACTCTTGAGAAACAAACGCAGGATCGTTGTTTGGATCGCTGCTTGCGTGGGATCTTTGCCTGTGTCGGGAGCGCTTTGACTCGTGGACCACCGAATCACAGATTCTGATTGAACCGTGAGGGGTTTAATGATTCTTCCTTCGTTTATCGAAGTAAGAATTTGAAGCGAATATCTTATCGATGTAAGATGTTCACTCTTCTAAAGACCAAGTCAGAGCTTAGATCTCTAGGAATGGCCAAAAGCTTCTTGAGGATGTTTGTGAAGAAGGAAGACTCTCTCTCTTGCTCTAATTCACCAAAACTCAGGGCTCTCTGCTCTAATCTCTCTGGAAAATGCTCAGCCCCTGTCAATGATGGCCATAGGGGGGTATTTATAGCCTCCTTAGACGATAACTGAAGAAATAGCTGGTCAATAACTGTCTCTTTAGGCGCGGCAGCTGATGCTGTCGCGGCTAAAGGGCGCGACAGTCGACAATGTCGCGGCCAAAGGGCGCGGCAGTCGACACTGCCGCGGCTAAAGGGGCAGTTACACCCACGTTCATACGTGTTTGAAACAGTTCTCCCACGACCTTTAACCACCTTTTTCGTGGTTTAACTGCTTTTCCACGTCAGCACACGTTCTATTTCTGATACGCCGCCACGTGGACTTTAAATAATCATCAGATAACTGTATTATAACTGCTGTAGCATCCTGCTTTAACTGCCGCGGCACCATAGGTTGCAGCGGTTAAGCCGCGACACCATAGGCTGCCGCGCCTTAGCCGCGGCACCTTGGTCTGCCGCGCCTTAGCCGCGGCACCATGTCCTGCCGCGCCTTAGCCGCGGCACCATGTCCTGCCGCGCCGCCATATGTTGCTTGATGACGTGTATATTGTTCTTCTATATCGTCTTGAGTGGTGTTTGAATGTCTGTAAGCATTTTTTGACGCCTACATGTAGTTATTCATTTCTATCGATAATTATAACCTTATTGGAGGAATTCACAATTCATGCACTCTGTTTTTGCAGTATTAGAGGTTATTATGTATATGCTTGTTTTTTGCTAGTTAGTTATTACAAATCTAACTCATTTTTTGTATTATTACATTGACGAATTGGTGAACCATTCGCTAATATTCTAATTCAATCGTTTTTCGGTGAATGGTTTCTGTAAATCTTCTTATGGATAAGTTATTCACAAAATATCAACTATTCATGGATCTTATGAAGCGTCACTATTTATGTTGGAAGCTTGGTTTTTTGCTAGTATGTAGTGAAACACAGCACATGTTCTTTCTACCTACTTTTTCTTTTACTAGTTACTGCAAAAATCTAGCTCATTTTTTGTATTATTACATTGACATATTGGTGAATCATTCACTAATATTCTCATTCAACTGTTTTTCGGGGCATGGTTTCTGTAAATCTTCTTATGAATAAACTATTCACAAAATATCAGCTATTCGTGGATCTTATGAAGCATTACTCTTTATGTATATTGGAAGCTAAGGAAAAAAAATAGTACTATCTATCAGTGTCAATAAAGCATTCAGAATTTATTTGTATAGCGTGACCTATTTTTTCCATAACATTCTATTCATTAGTTGAGGTTGCTGTTGGTTGTAATTCTACTGAAATTTTCCTGCCGTAACATGTATTGAGTTTTACATCATTACAATATATCGTCTTCCAGTCTAGATGTTCTGGTAGATTCTTGGATGTTTAGACATTCAATATCTAAGTCATGAATCATGTACTGAATGCTAAGTAGAAATTACCTATGCTGTTTGATTCTTCTGGTGCTTTCTATGAAATTTTCTCAAGCAATTAACTTCTTGCAGAACCGGCTGCTTGCAATGAACTATATAAATGAGGGCTCTGATGATAAGCTTTTTGAGGCTCACAGGTATTTCTAACTCTTTACAAAGTATATATGCTTTCACAGGATTCCCATTCTGTTCGGTACCTGTTTATGGATATTTCTATAATATGAGATTATCAGTGTATTTAGAAGTCAATTTTCGATAATAGTTGGTTTTTATTCCAAACCTGGTAAGATTCAATCTAGGAGTTAGCTTTTATGTTTGAACTTTTTAAGCTTCATTTTAGATGAATCAACTCTGTTTGATTTTGACTATAGAAGAGGTGATACTTTTCGATCTCATTGAGCGCTTCTATTGTTTTGCTGCCCATCTATTGTGACAGGTTTATGCCACACGATTGCTTTGTCAAGTTAATGAATGTTATTGAATGCCTTGGGAATTAGAAATATTTGTCGAACTGTTCTTCAAATTCGTTGGTCCAAAAGAAATCTGATGAGAGCCTGATAAAATTTATATTGTAGTTAATGCATTATGATTCATTGTTGCTCTGCCGTGTCATATTTAAAAGGATGGAAAACCTGTTTTATAGATGCTTTGCAAATGAGAACTTTTTTTTGCCATTGCAAATTTCCTTGGTTCATTAAGATCGGAGTGTCAATGTTATGGATATCCTCTCTGTTTTTTTGTCTCTTTTTGTGTAGCTGTATTGTGAATTTTTTTATGTTCCACGAAGTTCCTGTATTGAAAGATGCATATATGGTACTTTTGATCAAATTATCTTTGTTGGAAACAAATGTAGAACCATGTCTTTTTAGATGGAATATCTGATTTCTTGCTAAAATTTTCTTATTGAAGTACCATCCGAATGAAATCTGCATGCAATAGACACGAGTGTTATATAGCAGCCTGTTAATAATTTATTTTGATAATTCTGCAACTTCATTATTACTTGTTTAGTTGTTTACAAGTTCAGTGCTGTCATTTTGACTTCAACACGGAGTGAACATATAAAACTACTTCATTTTTATAGCATGCCTGTTAATCATGAAAATGATTATGAGTTTTGTATACCACACCTGTTAATCATTTTTATTGGTAATTCTGCAACTTCAGTATTTAGTTGTTTACAAGTTCAGTTCTGTACTTTTAATTTCAACAGGGAATGAGCACATAAAACTACTTCAGTTAGTGGTACAAATTCATAGTAGTTTGACTGACTGATGTTTAATTGTTCCTCAGGGAATGGGGAATGCGATTTATGAAGCTATACCCTCAATATACCAGTTGGGATAATCCTAAAGATATGGAACGCCCATTAGTAATTGGATATGTGTCACCTGATTATATTACTCACTCTGTATCATATTTCATTGAAGCACCTCTCTTTTTCCATGATTACACAAATTACAAGGTGATTGTGTACTCTGGTGTTGTAAAGGTATGGTTATTTCTCTCATGCACAAGTGTCACCACTTAGTTAACTTGAAGTCTTTTTTCAAGTATCTTGAAGTCTTTTTTCAAGTAATTTACAACACGTCTTTAAGTCAAGTTTATGGGGGCTGTATGATATGTAAACCAATCAATTTTTCTACTTCTACTTTTTTTTTTCTTTCAATCATTTTCAGTAAATTATAAAGTCTCTGTCCTTTACGCTTAAACATAGTTAGTGTCCTTGTGTTTTACTGTGATATTGTAGGCAGATGCCAAAACCCATAAATTCAAGGACAGGGTGCTGAAAAAAGGAGGGCTATGGAGGGATATATATGGGATTGATGAGAAGAAGGTTGCTAGCATGGTTAGGGAGGATAAAGTTGACATACTGGTGGAGCTTACTGGTCACACTGCAAATAACAAGCTAGGGATGATGGCCTGCAGGCCTGCTCCCATCCAGGTACTGCCCTTATTTAAATTCACATCTGTATCACCTTCTCTGCGTTTTTGTTCCTCTTGATATTTTTAAAATTTATAAATTTAGCATCCTTGTCATTTATCATGTTTCCTGGAATTGCTTGAGTCGCTTTGTTTTTTACATACATCCATGTAAAACATGCTCCTTAATGACCTTCACCTCCACAGTTCTTATTTACACTCATACCCCTTGAAACCTCCAGTCTTGTGGCCTAAACACTGTCTGCGAGTAAACTCAACTAGAAAGTGGCAGTAAACTGCCAAATTTTGCTGAGATACAACAGGATATAGGTTGTTCTTCTATTAAAGAGCATCCTTTTATTTTCATGGATATTTCTACTGTGAAGCTATATTAATGTCAGTCATATATTGGAGATGACACTTTTTGTTGCGTACTTGCCATTCCTTTTGTACCTTTTATCATTTTTATCTTCATGTCTATCATGTTGCTTCCATGTCTGCATGCCAACTTGTGCTTCTTAGCTTATTTCCTCATGTTAAAATGAACTAAGACTGAAGATCCGCATGTAATTATTTCCAATAACTACTTTTAACAATGATAATTTTCTTTATGAATTTTGCCTCTCATAGTTACTTTTTCTCCCACTATGCTTTTCCAAACTTGACGAAGTTTTGGTGATTCTTTGGTCACCATTTCCTTTCTCTTTTCTCGTCTTTGTTGTGAGAGAGCATGGGCATTAGCAGCTTTTGCACGACGTTTTTGTATACGTTCTTTGAGGGTCGAACGAGTCTTTTTGACAATAGTCCATTCATCCGTCGTTGTTTTAGCAGAGATACGAGTGATTGGTTGTTGAGACAACTGAACCACTCGATGTCTCCTCGACTCTAGGTCCGCGTGGTAACGAACCCCGTCGGTTTGTTCCAAGGCTTTAGCCATTTGGCGAGCACGGCGTTGACGTTGTCTCCGACGAGCTCTTTTCGTTAATGCCGGCGGGCTTTGATTCGATGACTCTTTAACTAGATAAGAGCCATTGTGAGCAGAGGTATTGCGAGTGAAATTCTCAACAACAATCAAGCGAGAGTCTTCATTTTGTGCCTTCTTTGGCATGCAACTCTTCCTCAATTGTGAGATCCTCTTGTATTTGCGAGATAATGAAGATCTTGAAGAGGATGAGAGATATTCCTCAAACTTGGTTTGGTCAAATTCGTATTCGACCATGGATTCAACTGGAATCTTGATCGGCTGTGACACGACGGTTTCGGCAGCGAGACCGTTGGCTCCCACTGTGGTCGCCAGCTTGTTTTCGTCAAAAGTTGGTTTTGTCATGGAATTCATTATATCTTCGGTCGATTACAATAAATTCAAAAGAAATAGTCTTTTTATAAGACTTCTTTTACACAACAAAAGGAAAATTACAACTCTTGAGAAACAAACGCAGGACCGTTGTTTGGATCGCTGCTTGCGTGGGATCTTTGCCTGTGCCGGGAGCGCTTTGACTCGTGGACCACCAAATCACAGATTCTGATTGAACCGTGAGGGGTTTAATGATTCTTCCTTCGTTTATCGAAGTAAGAATTTGAAGCGAATATCTTATCGATGTAAGATGTTCACTCTTCCAAAGATCAAGTCTGAGCTTAGATCTCTAGGACTCGCTAGAAGCTTCTTGAGGATGTTTGTGAAGAAGGAAGACTCTCTCTCTTGCTCTAATTCACCAAAACTCAAGGCTCTCTGCTCTAATCTCTCTGGAAAATGCTCAGCCCCTGTCAATGATGGCCATAGGGGGGTATTTATAGCCTCCTTAGACGATAACTGAAGAAATAGCTGGTCAATAACTGTCTCTTTAGGCGCGGCAGCTGATGATGTCGCGGCTAAAGGGCGCGACAGTTGACACTGTCGCGGCCAAAGAGCGCGGCAGTCGACACTGCCGCGGCTAAAGGGGCAGTTACACCCACGTTCATACGTGTTTGAAACAGTTCTCCCACGACCTTTAACCACCTTTTTCGTGGTTTAACTGCTTTTCCACATCAGCACACGTTCTATTTCTGATACTCCGACTGCCGCGGCTAAAGGGGCAGTTATACCCACGTTCATACGTGTTTGAAACAGTTCTCCCACGACCTTTAACCACCTTTTTCGTGGTTTAACTGCCTGTCCACGTCAACACACGTTCTATCTCTGATACGCCGCCACGTGGACTTCAAATAATCATCAGATAACTGCAATATAACCGCCACAGCACTCCTTTAACATAGCCGCGGCACTCTAGGTTGCAGCGCCTTAACCGCGGCACTATGTGCTGTCGCGCATTTAGCCGCGGCACTATGTGCTGTCGCGCCTTAGCCGCGACACCTTAGTCTGCCGCGCCTTAGCCGCGGCACCAGGTCTTGCCGCACCGCCATGCATTGCTCGATGACGTGTATATTGTTCTTCTATGTCGTCTTGAGTGGTGTTTGAATGTCTGTAAGCATTTTTTGACGTCTACAGTCTCGATCACTAATTTGATTGGGGCATTACATGCAAAAGTACACTTGTCTGTTGTTGGCAAAGAGTTACACTTTGGTGATTGAGAACACCATAACAACTACTATTGTTTTCAAAAATGAACAATTAAAGTCTAAAAATAGTGATTTGGAAAAGGCCGTGAAGAATTTTTCATTGGGCTTAAAAGGTCATAACATGGTTCTTTCCAGTCAATGATTTACAAAAGCTAAAATTGGACTTGATTATTCATATTCTGAAAAATATCAACCTTCTTGTATAAAGAGTGATCATCTTGGTTATTTTGACCTGTTTCCCAATAGGACTTATCATTCTATATGCTCTTTGTGTGGGAAAACTAGCAATATTTCTATGAGTTGTCATATGAGATATATGGTTAAAAACAGTTAAACAGATTTGGATACCAAAAGGCCTTATTGCTAAACAATGTGGACCTATATGGATATGTAGGTCACATTTGTCTGCTTTTCTATAAGTTTGCAGGTCGATCGAGGATTGAGGCAACACACAGTGATTGCTTTGGGGTTCAGATTATCAAAATTCAATCCTTGGTCTACATGGATATAAGAATATATAAATTTGATATATATATATATTATATTATCTTCTCATAAGGGTAAGTTTCAAGTATATTCTATAACTTTTACTTGATATCTATATATTCAGATGATGCATGAAATACACAGGCATGTACTAGCTTTCATTTGATTTTACTGCATATTTGTTTTATTAGTACCTCTATGCATGCTCAGCTGACCTATTGTATGTACATAAATATTTTTCTTATTTTTTTGGTTTTTATTTATTTTCTTAATTTTTATTTTTTATATATTGAAAACAAAATAAAAATTTCTCTTCTTTCTTTTATTTTTTTATGAAAAATTAAAAACAAAATAAAATTTCTTTTTTCATTATTTTTTATTTAAAAAAACTTGAACATGCCTATTATACGCTTTTACATAAAATATTTAGATATGGTTATTTGTTGGTATATAGGTATGAGTTTATCATATTGATTCACTTATTTTTCACATCTATTTATATTATATGTTCATGCATATTTATACATGTTTGATTGATAAACATGATGATTCATGGTATGTTTTATATTACTTTTCAACCTTCGTATTGTCATATCATATTTAGTCTTGTAAAAGTAAGAATAAATATTTTTGTATGTTACTCATGAAGTGTTTTTTTAGATATATCAAATAGTTTTGAGCTCAATCTATACTGAATACAACACAAAAAATTTCTACACATGTATAAAGTACATATGTGCTATAAAGAATCAAGTAAAAAAGAGTGTATTCATAAAAAAAGATAGTCAAAGAACCATACTCTATAAATACATGATAAAATTTGAGTGTATTCGATAAAAGATGGTCAAAGACCCATACTCGTGCATATGATTGTGCAATATCTCAAGGATATCCATCTATGCTAAACATTTTAATATTTAGAGATAGTGTACATTGCCCTCCAAACATTAATGTTCTTCCTCTTAGAATATGGTTAAGGTGATAGATCGAGGTTTTAGACCTTTTCTAAAGATTGAGATAACTCAAGTTGTGTAATAAAAGAAGATGCCAAAACTAGATGAGATATACATGAATTTGTTTTATGAACTAATATAATTACTTTTATTGCTATTTTTATAAACTTTTCATTGATATCTTCATAGTTTGGATGCGAATTTTAATATGACTTATCTTTGTGTCATAAGTCGACTCATGGACATGCATAAGTCGACTTATGGTAAGTCGACTTGTGTTTGTGCACGAGTCGACTTACGTTCTATTCTAGAATTGTTGTTTTTGGCTCTGTCAAGTCGACTTATAGGCACTGTTAAGTCGACTTATAGACACTGTTAAGTTGACTTATGATCTGTTCTCCAGTTGTTGTTTTTCGCTCTGCCAAGTCGACTTATAGAGCCTGATAAGTTAACTTATGTCGGGTTTTCTACACAGTTTGAGTTCCTATTTGGATTCTGTTTGGGTTTCTGTTTTAATATAAATAGGAACAAATTTTTAGGGTTTGTGAGTAGTGAATTGGAGATATTTGGAGCACAAAAAGAGGTATTTTCTGAGCTATTGGTTAGAGTTTTGTTTGGAGAGAATTAGAGATTTGTTGGTGATGTTAATTGGTAAGTTCGAGTGATTTGTAATCTCAGTTTGTATTCTTCTTCTCTATTAGTAAAAACCTCATCCCCTTTTGTCCCGTGGACGTAGACAACTTGCCAAACTACGTTAAAATTGGTTGTTTGTGTTTGTGCCGTTATTTTGGTTTGTTTTGCCTTCTCTCGACGTTTGTTTGGTTTGGTTTGGTTTCTCGAAGCACATAGATTTGATGGCTTTCGCGCGCACAACATAGTGAGTGGATGAAAACTTTTTAGAAAAGTTGATAATTTGATTTTAATTAGTGAACTTGCTAAGTATGAAAGTAGAGTCAATTTCACAGTGGTGCAAGTAATTTTTCCTTAATACTTCCAGCCCCCAAAACCCAAGAAAACGTGATCCTCCCCCCCCAAAGACTTTGTCAACGGGTGTTTTACCCCCTAAAAATAAAGATTTTGTTCTCTGAGCCCCCAAAACACAAAATCTAAAAGATTAAAATATGTGAAGACCATAATACCCTTCTCTCTCTCTCTTTTTATCATGATGTACTAAGATGATAGTTAAAATGATTAATGGGGATTATTTTATTATTTTTGTTTTTTTATTATTTTCGTTGTTGATGAGGGGAGCTAACTATTTGTATTGGGAGATTAATAAAGTTACAGGTTAATTGTTAAGGTTACGAGTTAATTGTTAAGGTTACGGGTCAATTATTAATGTTATGGATCCATTACGGGTCAATTATTAAGGTTACGGATCAATTCTCTCTCTCTCTCTCTCTATCATGATGTTACTATGATGATGTTAAAATGATTGAAGGAGATTGTTATTTTATTATTTTTGTTGTTGATGAGGAAACTAATTGTTTTTGTTTGTATTGGGAGATTGTTAAGGTTACGGGTTGGTTGTGAAGGTTACGGGTTAAATTGTTAAGGTTACGGGTTTAATTGTTAAGGTTACAAATTTTTTGTTAAGGTTACGGGTCGGTTGTTAAGATTACGGGTTGGTTGTGAATGTTACGGGTTTAATTGTTAAGGTTACGGGTTTAATTGTTAAGCTTACGGGTTGGTTGTTAAGGTTACAGGTTGGTTGTGAAGGTTACACGTTGGGATATATATATATATTCACTTAGTCTAGTGGTAAAGTTTTGGAGTTTGGACAAGAGGTTAGGGGTTTAAACCCCTACAGCCACAATATTTTCAGAATATTCGTTGTTAAGGATAATGGTTGATTGTGAAGGTTACGAGTTGGTTGTTAAGGTTACGAGTTTGTTGTTAAGGATATGCGTTAGTTGTGAATGTTACGCTTTGGTTGTGAAGTTAACCTACATAACAAATCCATAATCTTAACAACAAACCCGTAACCTTAACAACTAACCCGTAACCTTCACAACTAACCCGTAACCTTAACAACCGACCCGTAACCTTAACAACAAACCCGTAACCATAATAATTAAACCCGTAACCTTAACAATTAAACCCGTAACCTTAACAATTAAACTCGTAACCTTCACAACCAACCCGTAACCTTAACAACCAACCCGTAACCTTAACAACCAACCTGTAACCTTACAACAAATACGTAACTTTAACAATTAAACCCTTAACCTTAACAATTAAACCTATAACCTTAACAATTAAACCCGTAACTTTAATAATCTCCCAATACAAACAAAAACAGTTAGTTTCCTCATCAACAACGAAAATAATAAAAAATAATAATAAAATAACAATCCCCTTCAATCATTTCAACATAATCATAGTAACATCATGATAGAGAGAGAGAGAGAGAGAGAATGGATCCATAACCTTAACAATTGACCCGTAACCTTAACAATTAACTCATAATGTTAACAATTAACCCGTAACTTTAACAATCTCCCAATACAAATAGTTAGTTCCCCTTATCAACAATGAAAATAATAAAATAATACTCATCAATCATTTCAACTATCATCTCTTTCTTCCTTTTACCTTTGGATAATTTTTATTTGAATATTAAAGTATATTACCTATCCTATGTGTGTTTTTCTTTTACTAATAACAAAAAGGGGAAGAAATAGGATGAAATTTGAAATTGTTCATGAGTTTCATGATTTTTTCGTGATGGTTTTGCAAATTTTTTTAAAACTTGGAGCTCTTTATTTTAGAGGGAGTTTGCTTAGTTTTAGGAGGAGTTTCTGGAATACGTATACATTTTTTCATGTATTCATATTTGTAGGAGGAGCTTTACATATCATATATCATTTTGCATGAAATATGTTATGTGTACTAAATATACATCTCACTATATTTTATATTCTATATTTCAAATTTTGAGTTTTGTTACTAGCAAAAGGGGGAGATTGTTAGTATGTTGTTCGTGCAGAATGTTGTTTGTGCAATATTTCTTAACTCTCATTTGTTTCTAATATATTTATGAGATGATATATTTCAGGTATAAACAGATATGAACAAATTATGGTTCAAAATGATGCAAAAATCATCACGAAAGTTGATTTCATCCTTTGAACCATCAGCGGTCAAGAGGCACCATCAATGGTCAAGGAAGTTATCGATTGTTGACAAAAAACAATCGGAGAAATCTAGAAACTAGAATTTACATAATCGATAGACTATATTCAACTACCGATGATCACAATGGACAATCGATGATCGTGACCTACCATATATGGTTACGACGCATTTTAACAGATGTCTAGATTTAATCTCAGTCGTTCGTTGATTGATTTAATCTCCTAATGGAACTCTGATTAGAGTATCTCTTTTCTATACTATTAAGGTCTGTATAAGAGTTATTGGAGATGACATTTGATGAGAAAAAACTTGAAGAGAGAGTGGCAATTGCATAAGTAGATATATCTTTTTATAGTATTAGAGAGAGAGAGAGAGAGAGAGAGAGAGAGAGAGAGAGAGAGAAAGAGAGAGAGAGAGAGATAGAGAGAGAGAGAGAGAGATGATCTAAATATAAAGAAACAAATGATAAGATAAAAAATTCTTATTTTTACTGATTAAGTACCAAATGTAAACCTTTAGATGGTCAAAATTTTAAATCTTTGTATTTTTTTTGGTAAATAAAGTATTTAAGTTCTGAGATTTTCTATTTTGTAATATCTTGATAAATGGTTAAACATGAAGATGAAAAACTATCTATAACTTGTGTCTTGTTAAATATATTTCAAATAATGAAATCATATTAAAGATGTTTTTATTAATTAGGATAATTTAAAATGTAAGAAGTTCTTTTAAGCTTTTTTTAATTATATAAAATCTAGAACTTTTCTTTAAACTTTTTAATATTTTGAAGTCTTTTGGATTTTGACACAAAATATATAATTTCTAAAAGGCTTTTGGATATTTGTAGTAATTTTGTAAGTTGTCTTTTTGTAAAATCTTTAAATTAAATTTTATGTGTTTTTTCTATGACCCGTGCAAATTGTATGGATTTTGT